AAATACCTGCAGTTATTCAAGGCAAGGCTAGTATTTTATTACTGACATGACACTTTAAGCAGGGCTGATAGAGGGTAGGATTATACATAGTGAGCTTGTTTAATGTTGTCTTTACTCAAACACAAGTCCCATCAGCATTGGGGGCAGTTCCACTTGAATAAATGCTGGTGCTGAGGTGTGGGTGGAAGACAGGGCAGAGGTCTGCAGGCTGCACAGCAGATGTCTCTGCCAGAGAGCAGATGTTCTCTTCAAAGAGGGCAAGACCAAACTACCATCACTATTGAGCTGCACTTACGGCCCAGTGCTGCACCCACTCACGCAAGTGGCAGAGTTCCCGCTGCCCTGAAGGGAGGGGAGCTTTAACCCTTCAGGGATTCATAAACGAGCCCGTGTTCCGGGCAGTGGCATTTCCCCTTGCATGGGTAGTAGCAGTCATTCCAATGAAGAGCCAAACTTCAACTTAGCAGAAGTTATTGACTGTGTAAGTGCTTGGCACTTGGTTTCCTGGCTTCTTCCAAGACAGGGCATTGAGTAAGGACTGAGCTGTAGGATAACAGAGGACCTCAGTGCTGGGCCAATCAGCCTTGGAGAAGCTTCTCTTTAGTGCTCCCATCCAGAGATACTTGAGATCTCTCTCTTTGTGATCTTCCATGCTCTGAAATGTTAATTTCCCTCCATCAGTGTACAGGTCTCTTTGAAAGCTGTACCTGGAAACTTTCTATGTACAAGAATGGTGACAGGTACACGTGAAAGGAAACTATTGTCCTGTCTGCTTCCATGACCATAAAACCCAGCTTTCCTTTCCCAACCCTTTTGTTTGTAGTAGCTAATTTAGGTCCCAATCCTGTGAGGACTCTTTGAAGTTCAAGTGCAGGGAAAACACTGGTAAACACAGACCGCAGCTTGGTAACAGGACATTATATTCTCCACGGCAATTACGTAAGTTTGCAGTGTAGCTAAAAGCCTGTCATGGACGTTATCTAACACTATCCCACATCAAGAAAGAGCATAATCTAAATGTCTATTTATTTAATTGTGCAGGGCAACTGCCCAGATAAGGAGAGCTATAAACTTAATCCAGCCAATTATTCTTTATCTCTTGTAAGTTTTTTCAAGTTTCAAATGAGTTCTAACTTGAAAAGAGTTTGCTGGAGAAATAAAGCACACATGTTAAAATGTTTCTATCAGAGATGAAGCCATCACATATTTTGAACTTGCAGTATCACTCAAGGTTGTTTTAATTAGTAATAAAATTGTACTCTTCTGGATTTACATTGCCATAAATGAAAGAAAAAGTGAAGTGGTTCCTGCTAAGCAATCCCAATCTAAATCCGGGTGTGAATCCTGCTTTCAGGTAACATTTATTCTCCCATTTAGCAAAGGGTAAA